GATATGCGACATATGACTTCGAACTTCACGTGGGTTCCCTCACACGGCAAGCGTCACTCCAACTGTATACCACGCAGTTTGAGGGTTAGAGTTTCGGGTGTAGAGTTTAGAGGTTGTTACTGACAAAGTGTAGCTCGAACCTGAATGTTAACGACTCCCCCCCCCCCAACGGCGCCTGAACACAGTGCTTTGGATGTTCTTACGAGAGGGATATGGGTGCTAGTACCAAGGGAAATAAAACCGGGACGGACGATGCAAAAACCAAGAAAAATAGTCCCCCTTAAGTAGATAGAATATGGCTTTGGGCATATTATAATAAGACCCCCATAGACCCCAGATTCTATCTACTTAAGGGGGACTACAATTTCAAATAATTCCATAAGCTCTGAGAACTTAGAGTCTGGCATGGTTTAGGTCTCCGGGCTCAGGGATGCCAAACAAGCACATGTGAGCTATAGTCTGAACTCCTTTAAGGGGGTCATATATGGGATTATGTAGGGGACTACTATAGGGGGTTATTAAGGGAGATACTAGGAGTTTAGACAATGGCTCATGTGGGAGTCAGGTGTGGATTTCAGGGTTTAGATCATGTAGAGGGCTTGCAAGCAGTAACAGAGAAAGGCATAGGATAACCATACTAGAAGACTGCATAGAAGTCTGTGGCATCATGAAAATGGGGGGTCATGCGTCAAATGCTAAACACTTACAACCACCCATGAGTCTGATACCAGATTGTTGCATTCAGGGTCCTGGGTGAATGCATTGGGCTTCGGGGGGGGAACTCGTGGTGCTCGCTAGAGCAGTGACATGACGGATTGTGCAAAGGATCTTTCAACCATCGCCGCTCTCAAGGCATAGATGCGTACACAAACCCGAAGGGGTTTGGGATTTTTTGCTTGGGGGCTTGAAGTTCTGGAAGCTATGGCCAACAGGCTTAGGAAATTGCTTGCCAGCACATAATGGGGCTTGTTCGACTCTCTGTCTAGTCTGGCACAAGAAGGTACAAGCTGGAAGCTGGTCTAGCTGTGCTAACTTGAACTGAATAATTACGAAAACCATCTTTAGCTCTATTTGAGGTACCCTATACCATAACTGTAAAAGGAATGGAGGACTGTGATGTTGGTAATTTTTTAGGTCCTTATAGCACGTATACAGCTACAATCTCAAAGTTCTGGGAGCAGATCAGCTCCATTCAACTATGACCTTTAGCTTCAAGTAGATTTCTCAGCTGCGAACCACACATTAACACTAAGTACCCAACGCACATACACAAGCTCCCTGGCATGGGGATCCCTTCAGAGACATCCTGCTACTCGCAATTGAAGATTAACCTTTAAATGACGGGGTTGCTATTAAGGAACTTAAGTTAAGTTATTGTAATAAGGACACCGGATTATTTGCTGTATACCCATATTATGGTGACTTAGTTCAAGTTCCTTTCACAGCAACACAGCTGAGGTAATGCAGTGGAAAATGATTAGAATACGGTTTCGGGATTTCTGCAGTTACGCAAGGATTGCTAGGCAATAAGGCTGGCAAATATGGCAGCTTCTTTATATCTGAGGCATGATGCAACCATCGACCTATGGCTCCAGAAGTACCCCCCCTGGGTCAGCTATAGCTTGCGTAAACCTCGAAACTGCAGGCCAGACAGGAGTTGTAACTCATTGAACAGGCGGGAGACATTCATAATCAATATATCGAGACACAGAGACTCCACAGAGCCTCACCCTCGCTCAAGTTTGATCCCTGAACCTTACACTGCTGGACAGCAAAGCCCTGAAATCCAAAATCCAAACCCTGACCTTAGACCCTAAACCCAAAATCCCTTACTCCCTCAATTCAGACGGACAAATTTTCCTTGTTCCCTTGCTCCAGTGCCAGAGACTTCGCGGCGCTGAATGTAGCGATGGGCCAATTACAAGCGCATGATAGTTGTAAGGTCCTTGTTAAGTGGGTTGGTGTTACAATACCGAAGCCCTAAACCCTAAACCCTAAACCCTAAACCTTAAACCCTAAACCCTAAACCTCTTATTCAAGATAATGAGCTGCGCCGCCGGCCTGTATCAAACTGTTCTCCCCAGTGTTGGCAGCATCCCATTCGACCTCCCAGCCCACAACGAAGGAGTTGAAGAGGATCACAAAGGCCTCAAAAGAAAATGGAAACTACAATAATATAATAGGGTATATATAGGGTTATATTGGGATAATGGAAAAGAAAATGGAAACTACTATAATATAATAGGGTATATATAGGGGTTATATTAGGATAATGGAAAAGAAAATGGAAACTACAATAATATAATAGGGTATATATAGGGGTTATATTAGGATAATGGAAAAGAAAATGGAAACTACTATAGTATAATAGGGTATATATAGGGGATATATTAGGATAATGGAAAAGAAAATGGAAACTACTATAGTATAATAGGGTATATATAGGGGATACATTGGGAGTTGCTTCGGGGAGCAGTTCCTGAACTGGACACGCATTGCGACGCTGCATACTTCATAATGCCGCCCCAAAAAACCTCAAGGATGATTCCAATCTGAGGATTTCTAAAAACGAGTCTCCCCCCAGATGTGCCAAACATGAGAACAGAATCAGAGAGAGAGAGAGAGAGAAAGCTCTGCGATGCGTTTTTAAGGATGCCGGATGCCCCAAAAAAAACCACCCAATCTTAAACCACCCTCTCCCAGCCGACGAACTCAGTAGAAAAAAAGCTTTCATGTACTCTGCTCCGGAATTTGGAATCTTTGTTGCTGGGGAGTACCTATCAGGGTTTAGGGGTTAAGGGTTTGCAGCTGATAGGTTTAGGGGTCTAGGGTTTATGGGACCAAAACAGGTTTGGACTTACATTGAGGACCCCCATTTTGGAAATTACCATGTGGGGGATTTTAAAAATTATGGTCCATTTTTGGCTCCCTATTATAATACGGGGCCTAATACGGGGCCAAATTTAGGGGACCCAAGAAGGGACCATAATTTTGACAACCACCCATGTGTTTGAAGCTCCACACGGAGGATGGCTGTCTTTGTGCAACAACAACGCCCAATGCCAGCACCCAAAGCTCTTGAGGCTCCCCAGAATTCCGAAACAAGATCCAAAAGCTAGGTTTAGGGGTTAGGGTTTAGGGGTTAGGGAACAAGATCCAAAAAGCTAGATCTCCAAAGCAATCCCTCAACTGCGTCCAACATCTACACCCTGCACCTTCACAACGAAAGCCTAGACCCCTGATAAAGCCTATACACCTAAAAACCCAGTCTTAAAGCCCAAAACCCAAAGCCATAAGCATTAGGGCCCTCAACTCTAAACCCTAAGCTACCCTGCATCATGAATAGTAATGTGCGTGTCCTTTACCATTGGATTCTCCGTTTTCCCTAGGAGAAGCCTCAAGACATCGAACCCTAAGCCCCGAACCCCAATCTTTTGGGCTCCAAGTGTCAGCCACAGCATCGAAGA